CAGTAAAGGGTGTATGCAGGAGATGGTCTGCTGGCTTTTTAAAAAGGTATTCATTTTAACTCCATAATGAGTTAGAAAAGCCACTAACTTTTAAAACAGTCAACACTTTCCTCATTGCTGTCTTAGCTTGAGCTCAACAGTTACCCATGTACTGTGTTACAGCTACTTTTGCCTTACCTTTCTCCGCTTGCAAAAGGACTGGGGATCTTCCGGAGAAGACCTGTGGCGCTCCAAAACTCTCTTTTCTTCAGAATCGTGCAGTAATTTCTGTATAGCCTGCAACACATTAAGTTCAGGAATGGGATTGTAAGTTTGGGCTGCTGGCGTGTTCAAAATTATTATTGGTTTTTTTTTTTTTTTAGATGAGCTATTCTTTTGCCTACGAAACGCTGAACATTATTATAAATGCGTATGTTGTACGTTGTTCTCCTGCCCTCACGCTCGAATCTCTGCATAACGAGATCTTTTGTGCTTATCTTTGGTAGGGAACGTAATATCCCGCTAACCTGCCAGTTACGATTTGGAAAAGGTCATTTGAATTTTGCAGCTTCACAAGGTTAAGACCAAACTCTTCATCAAACTAAAAAGGTCTAGCAATTAAAATCCAATTAAAAGCCAAAAAGCTGTTGGCGTTTTTTGTGTTGACTCAATATCTCGTGAGTTCGTACGCTTTTTAAAAAAGGAAGTTCATAATAAATTGTCAAAAAATTTGGGAAATGAAGTTTTAAAAATAAATTTCCTTGGACTCAAACTTGAATAATCTGAGCATACAGGCTGCTGCAGTCTGGGCTTGTTGAATATAAGCGTAAGGAAACCGGCTTCTGGAGCATTTTTTCACGTTGTTTCAGATTTTGGTAGATTTTAAAACGGATTTTAATAGAGTTTAAAATTCAGCACTGTTAAGACTTCAATTAGTAGCCTGCTGCTGTACAGCACAGTCGTATCCTTGGCCTATAAAGCGGACGAGGTCAAACTCATGCCTCGTGCACAGATTCCGACGGGATCTTACGCTAGCGTGGTGCGCCTTTCCGTCCCTGGACGCGGAGGCGTAGCCGTTCTCCCGGCGGCTCAGGCCTTTTGTCCATCCACCGCGGTCTGTCCGCGCAAGCTAGCGCTGGACGCTGTTGAGGACCGCGCGAGGCACCGGGCAGCGGGCTGAGATGGGGGCATCTGCTCTGTGAGAACCTCGTCCTGATTTTTATAGGCTGCTGAAATAATTTCTAAATGTAGCATGAACTAGATGAGCCCGAGTAGTCGTCTTCCCTGCGTGCGTTTGAAAACTCGCCTTATGGTTTGGTGTTTCTCGATCGGAACAATGGCCTGTTCGTTTTGATGTGTTGCCTCGTGGCTTCGTTAAACGCTCCCCTTTCCCCCCCCCCCCCTTGAGCTCAAGACCTGCTAAAACCTCTGAAGGGTGTTTAAGTGCTTTGCCCGAATTGAAGTGGATGCTCTTTCCTGTTTCGGAAATAATCTTTTGATTCCCTCTTTATATTTATCTAGTGTTAAGTATTCGCGGTATTCAGGAAGAAGATCCCCCCGATGCTCAACTAATGAGACTAGATAACATGTTGCTGGCAGAGGGTGTCTCCGGGCCCGAGAAAAGAGGAAGAGGAGGACCGATGGCTGTAGCAGCAACATCAGGTGGCTGTCCAAATGACAATAGCATTGAACACTCTGACTACAGGGCCAAGCTGTCACAGATCCGACAGATATACCACTCTGAGCTAGAGAAATATGAACAGGTGATCTTTCTGCATGGAAGAGTTTTTATCATCTCAATTAAAAATAACCGTTTTTTCCTTTGGTGTCGGTTTTAAGAACGGAACAGGAAGCATAATGAATTCAGGTGAACGCGAGGATATCAAATCCAGTTGAAAACTTATCTCAGTGTTGCAGAAGTAAGGTGAAGATAGGGGGACTGGACATCAAAGTACAGATAATAAATGTCTCGTTTATCTTTGTTGCCGTTTTTTAAGAGTAAATAGAGTAAAGCTGAACCATGGAAACTCCTCTGACGTTTTTTGGCTATATATTCTTGTTGGGAAAACGAATTCTAGGGTATTTTATCGTTTGTCGATACAAATGTGTGTATTTTCAGGCCTGCAGTGAGTTCACCACCCACGTTATGAACCTGCTTAGGGAACAGAGTAGAACAAGGCCAATTTCGCCAAAAGAAATAGAGCGCATGGTGAACATAATCCACGGCAAATTCAGCACCATCCAGATGCAACTGAAGCAGAGCACGTGCGAGGCAGTAATGATCCTGCGCTCCCGCTTCCTTGACGCGAGGTACGAGAAAACGCAACCTAGCCGTAAGCGACGTCGAAGCCTGAACTGCTTCTGTTGCTCGATGCCAGGCAGGGTGTAAGAAAGCTCAAGGCTGGCACTCCCCGCGTCGATCTAGTTTAAATATTAAGAATTCGCCACCTGGTTCGCTTGCTAGGGTCTGTCTGTTCACTTCCACTCAATTCTTACATTCTCCTTCAAACCCAAGTGTATTTTAGAGGAAAAGAGAAGCCAATGCTGTACTCTAGCCGGTCTACTCGATAACACCATTTAAGTAGGAATAATTAATATTTTTGTAGGCGTAAACGACGTAACTTCAGCAAACAGGCAACGGAAGTGCTGAATGAATATTTTTATTCGCATCTGAGTAATCCTTACCCCAGTGAAGAGGCCAAAGAAGAGCTAGCAAAGAAAGGTGGCATCACAGTTTCGCAGGTATGACGTGTTTTAGCTGGAATTAAGTGACTTTTTTTTTTAACTCGGACAATTTTTTTTTTTTTTCCCCCCCCATAGTTAGCAACAGGCTTCAGTTCCTGGTACCTTAAATAGGATTTAGGTTGTCCTGAAGGGTTTAGTAGTGGGTATTTTCTTCTTGAAGCCTAGTTTAACACGTCTCCTTTGCTGATAACTTCGGAATATAGTGGAAAATGTAATAATTTGGTTAAATGCTAACAGCGATATATGTCTCCAGGTTTCCAACTGGTTTGGTAACAAAAGAATTCGATACAAAAAAAACATGGGGAAGTTCCAAGAAGAAGCTAATATTTATGCCGCAAAGACAGCAGTGGATGCAACTAATGTCGTGGCTCAAGGCAACCAGGCAAATTCTCCGTCTACACCAAATTCAGGTGAGCGAGTGCCGGTGAAGAGTCCGTCTGCTTGAAAGTCTCTAATTATTTCTTGGGACAATTAGTACCGCGGTGTTTGAAACGTTCGTAGGATTTCTTTTTCTTTTAAACTTAAATAACGTAGTACTTATTGGAGAACCATTTTTGGTGGGTTTTGTTTCTCATTAAAACATGTGGTTTGTTGTTTTTGGTTTTGTTTTGGTTGTTTTTTTTTTTCAGCTTCTTCTGGCTCTTTTAAGATGACAAATTCCGGAGATTCGTTTATAAACTTGCAGTCATTGACTTCCTACCAGAGCTCCCCAGTGGGAGCCAATGTGCAGTCGCAGGTCAGTAAGGGGACGGGAAATACATACTTTCAGCAGTGAGATAAATGTTAAAATCCCATTTCTCTGCCGTTTAAAGGGTATGAACGGGTTTCCCAGGGAGGCTGTGGAGTCTCCGTCCTTGGAGATATTCAAAACCCAACTGGACGCGGTCCTGAGCATCCTGCTCTAATTGACCCCACTTCGAACCTGGAGCTATTCTTCTCTCCCTTTAAACTTACATTAATGAATCAGTATTTTTTCATTTTAGAGTCAGTCTTGTTCCATATAAGCAGAACTTTGCTTAGGATTTGTGGTTAACAGTATTGTTAAACTCATTTTACGCTTTCTGCTGAATTTCTAAATCCGTCTGAACGGCATAAAATCTGTTCCTCTGTCATAAAAGCTATAGGCGATAGGCACGATACTAAGGCTCTAATTCTGCTTGATCGTGAACGAGTTAGCTAGAGCTCAGGTAACAGCAAGAACTGCAGAGAAAACTTGTCTTCCTGCAAGAAAACCTGCCCCGTGTTTAAAGAATTTCTTAAATAGAGATGTACCACGTAGTACTGCATTTCTTGAACTTGACTTTTTATCCTTATCGTTCTCACCGCGTGGGATCTGGTTCTAGATGGATTCCTTGCATCATGTCATACACCAGACGGGAAGATATGACACAATCGTGGGGAATCCTTTGTACACGACTCACGACGCAGCGCATAGATGTAAGATGTACTGAGGTATTAGTTACTAGAAACACAAATTCTGCCCGAGATGGGTTAATGGTCTGTGAATAAATGTTGGCTTTTTATTCCCCCTGGCATCTCTGATGTGGGGATAGGAAAAAGCTGGAAAAGATGTGCTAAATAAATATTTACCCCAGCCTTTCCCTCCCAGAGACTGGATTTAAAATTTTGGCTTTGGTCACCAGAAATGTTGTGCATTGCAGTTAATTCTTGCCAGAAGGAGATGGCGCTAGGAATAAGAGGAACCCCATAAAATCTCGCCCCAAAAAAGGGGGGGGGGGGGGGGAAGAGGTTTTACGGGATATTTGTGGACTGTGCTTTGCCAGAGCCGGTAAGTAGTTACTGCCTTTGGAAAGCACCGTCGCTTGTAAGGTGTAAGCATATAAAGGCATACTTTGTTGTCTGCAAGGAGTTTTCTTCAGGATTTAATGAAATGCTGTATTTATTCTCCCTTCAGGCTAATGGCAGCTGGCAGGATGCTACCACCCCTTCATCAATCACTTCACCTGCTGGAGACCCTGGAAGTGTTAATTCAGATGCGTCTAATTAAGTTTTTAGGACCTATTGATGAGAGGAAAGAGGTCATTAGTGTAATTTGTCAGTGTTGCTCTTTTGCCAATACTATTGTTTATACAACTTGACACACAGCTAATTACCTCAGAAAAACCCCTGGAACCAATAGAAGATTGTGATTACAATGATACCTCTCTACCTCTCAGCCTCACGCAGTTGAGTTCTTTTTACTTATGCCCATTGGGATGTGAAATTGTTTTAAAAGAACTTGCTTCATTTTCCTAACCAAATTCATTTTTTTAAATATGGATTTTATGGTAAGAATCTGAAAGTGTCTCAAGTTTTACAGCTTAAAAAAAAAAAAAATTGACTTATTTTAATTTCCATAAAGTTTTTTACTATGAAGTTTCTGTTCTAGTTGATAGCTACTAACAGTTAAACCCCCTGTATTGTAATTGTATGCGTTCTCTGTATTGTAATTTTGTATAGGAAAATAAGCTTTTCTTAACTAGAATTCATTCTGAGCTAATTAATCAGAACGTTGCTTTACCAAAACTCTCACTGGACTTTGCTCTCGGGTAGGACCTTCCATCCTGTGTCATTCCACGTAATTCTAATTTAATGTCGAGTGAAAAAACAAAGAAACAAACAAAAAAAACCCCAAGAAACCCACCTGACTTCCCCATGGATAATAGGTTTTTGTGCATTTCTGCAGCTGTTAACAGAGAGTCCACCCCTTTCAGTTGAGATTTTATCAAAGATAATAAACTTCCAAAGCCTTTTTTTTTTTTTTTTTTTCCTGTTTTTTTCCTTCCCTTTTTCTCCGGGGGGGGCCCTCGGGGGGG